CAGTGGTCTACCACTGTAGTTTGCAGACTTCAGGGAAAATGAAAAAAAATTAAGTTTATTCAAATAGGTAGTATAAACTCCATAATATATTTGAACTCAATGTACAATCGAAATAATTGTTATTGGATAATGTGAAACACAGTGTGTCCTCTGTTTTGGACAAAATTATAAGAACAGTATGATTATTATGACATAATATTAAATACAATTTGGTATCGTGTATTTGGTTAAAGTTTTTGAGAAAACCATGGGAGATTCAATCACGATGATCAACATGGCCAACATCAACCTTCACAAAAGTTATCGACACTATACGAACAACTACAGGATTCCGGCTGATAGGTCTGCGTTGGTTGCTCTGGGCAACCACCAGTGGTAACCGGTTCTGTGGTTGTCGATGATCCTGGTTGTGGTACAGCTGTTTCCGACACTGAAGGTTTCACCGGGTTCGAGAACCCAGAGTTTGACTCTGCAGTATTATATGACCCACCGACACCGGAAACGGACTGTATTACTTCCCTTACTTTGTCGACTGTCGGTTTGACTACGTCCATCCGGCCATCATCCTCCGTGGTGCATATACTTATAGAATAATATTTTATAGTTAAATCGTTTAAGTATCGCGAAGAAGGCTCACACACATTGCATTTATCAATGAAGTATGATTTTATTTATAGCAAAACATTATCGTTATCTGTGGTAATGTTTTGTCGTTTTATTATACTTTAATTTATTTTACAGTTAAATCTATAATTATTCCAATGTCTATATTATATTAAAGTGTTTAAGATGAAATCAATCATTTCATCGTCATTCGATGTTTTTCGACAATGTGAGTCACCTTTGTAATATTTATAAATAAAGTAAAAACATAAGTAATCATCAATATTATTATTTATAGTCTTATAAAACAGATAAGCATATAGACATTACAAATTCTGAATAAATTGTCAACCATAATATAACAAATATAGTAATTAATAATACAATTATTATTACTGCAATAATTACTAAGAAATTTATAAATAATAAATGTTATAAAATAATTAAATAGCGTATGTAATACCCACTAGTGGCAAACTTGTATTCAAAAACTGGGAGTGCTAAAGCCCCTATTTTTTGAGGGGATAAAACTTGTATTATTATGATTATATTATGTTACTTAATCAACAACTCACACCTCGCATTAGTCATTCAATAATTGATCAGACAAACAAAATTTAAACAAACGAAATTAAATGAAGATATTTCTATAATCTATATTAAAATTTAAAATATAATTTTTAAAGTCTTTGTCCTTATGTTTGTAGTTTATAAACAGAATAAGCGAACAACCGATTTTGACAGTAATGCCTGAGATTATTTTTAGAGATTTCAGAAAAGTTTAAAGACTAATTTTAACTATGTGCAAAACAAAATACTCTATCCAATCCGCCCCACAGACTGATGACCTATATTGAGAGAGGGGGACATGTTGCAAATTTAAAAATTATGGTCACTGGCCACCATTCATGATCTCCTGGCTGGCCCACGGTGGAGGAGGAGCTGGTTGAGAAGAACTTTACTTCTCAGTGGCCCTAGACGTGGTTCTATCAAACTCTTGAGAGAATCTACCGGATATAGGGCAACTATGGACAATAAAACTTGTTCGTAGTTGACTTCCGGAATACGTTGTGGAAGTTTTTTGCCAAGGGACGTTCTGCCTAGGTTTTGGTGTCGAGTGACCTGTATAGCCCATAGGAAACATTTTAAATCCTTCTTTTATTAAAACTTGTCATTTATTAATATTTCTAACAAGTTAATTAATTTTCTGATCAACTTTAGCAATAAAACCTAAATAATAATCTAACTTTTCCCTGTTAATTTAAATATAATACATTAAATTTAAAACATCTATATCAACGCAGTTCAAAAAAAATAAATGCAATTATTTTATACAAAATATCGGATTTAATAATTTAGTTGACTAAATTATATTGTGTTTAATTATTTGTAATTTAGATATTATAAACTACATTTTAGATGTTAAACTAATGTGAAATAATATACCTAAATTAATATACAGCTAGAGTGCAATTAGACATAGGTATTGGATGTATTTTTATCACAAAATTTATTTATTATTTAAACAAATTTAAAGTTGAAAATCACTATATGTGAGACTATTTGGCTACTGGTGGTCAACTTTATTGTAAATTCATGTTTTTTTAATCATGTTGATAAAGTTTTTGAGTACCTAACTGAAGTTTGATATATGAGAGTGGTTCTCAATTTCCATGTTACATTATTCATCAAAAATATATGGGTGCTTAACAATTATTTATCTAAATTAATTAATTTAGATTACACAGTTATATATCTAAGACAATTCATATTATTGTCAACCATTTTTTTTTTATTATCATCAAATTAATTTAATATTATCACACATTTTTAACATTAATTCTTAGCAAATTTAGTATTTTTTAAACTAATTTGCGTAAATTTACAGTTTGTTATAGTATAGGTATCAAATAAATTATTATTTGTGTTTGAAATATAATCATACTTACAATAAGAAATGTGGATGTAAGCCAAGGTGATAAATACAATTGATTTCGTATACATTTTAAATGAATCTGTAATAATTAATAAATTCAAATCATGACTTAATTAATTCAAAACGAGAATCTATTATTAGTTCTATATCGTAAGAAGGAAATAACATAAAAAAAACCAATTCAATAAAAATGCACAAAAAAAAAGGGAAACTCAATATAAATTTTAAATATTGTCTTCTATAATAAAGTTGATTGTCTTGTACATCATAATATATTAATATTATGTGATACCTTTCAAACTTGCAATAATTGCTTTTAATATATTACTTTAACTTGCCAGTTTGGCCATGTGTATCATAATAATATATAGTACCTACTCCCAATTGTGTGATACTATTTATTTATACCTATCTAGGTGAATTCTTATGCCAGAAACGGCAGAAACTCATAAAAACTCGAGTGTCATAAAACTCATAATATAATATGAGCCAGGGTTCATAGAAACAACTGAGTTACTCGGGCTGACACTCAAGGCGTCCGTGGAAAAATCTGTGAAATTGGTAGGGCAGTCAACTATTGATATTGACTGAATTTATTGGATTAGTGGGGGCATTATAATACAATTTACCACGAATGTGTAGTGATCGTAAACTTACCTTTTTTTATTCAATACCTGCCGATTGTTATTCACTCGCGATTCAATATATCACTAAGAAAGTATTGATCGAAACGGAAATCAAAAAAAAATTCTTCGACACAGTATCAATACTCTGCAGTACATACAAGTATATTAACTATAAATACCTTTAAAAAAAAAATGATAAATGTCTAAATGAATAAATGGTTTTCTTATTTTTTCGAGTTACTCGTAATAATTCAGAGTCCAAATTACAAAAAACTCTGTGGCTCCATATGAGCCCTCCCACTCCACGTCTGGGTCCCTCCCACTAACACGTATTACGTGCATAAAGAAATGCAATTTGTTTGTATAATAATAGACGTACCTATAACTATGATAAAATATAAATACTAGACTATACTACAATGCTCCAACACTGCAGCTGTGGTATTGGTGGTGTCCAAAAAACATAGATAGTCGTTAATCGTAACTGCAGTATTTTTCACAGAATTTCCATTACCTGTTATCTCATTAAATTTGAAGGGGAAATATTTTGGGTTCGATTCCATTTACCTCGAACAAGCTAGTACTTAACAGCGTGGCGATTAAATACAATTTGTTGCCGATAAGACTGACGCTTTTTTTTCATATCATAAAAACGTAATAAATTGACTGTTAGATTATATGGGTATAAATTATAATGTAATGTACGATACAAACGATTTGACCTCTGGTATATACTTCAATGATAATAAGATGGGTTTTTTATCGTAATAATTTATCATTCTTAAACTATAATAAAGGATTTAAATACAATACCTACGCGTGTAATCGTGTATATATGACGTAATTGCACAATTTTTATTAATTTTTTAATCCTAAGAAAATATAATATTATTCCCCATATTATGTCAAAATCTCAATTTAGTTGATGGTACCGGGCAGGGGTGGCAAAACTTTTAAACACGTAGTGCTAAAAATTACCTTTTCTTTTTTTTTCGAGCGTACCATGAAAAATATTTTGTTATTCTTCTTGTTATATAATTTTTTTGGAATTTCATATATATAAATTCATATATTATATAATATTATAATGTTTATTAAAAATATTTTAATTTTTCGCGTGCCCTCAAAATCTTTTCGCATGCCATGGATTTGCCATCCCTGGTATAATGGGTTTAGTAAGTCCCTACATGAAATATAACCGGTAAACGGTTAGGTACATAATACTCAAGTTTATAATAAACACTGAGATAATATTAAACAGATAGATTACTACAAAAAATACAATTAGATTTATAGGTACGTAAATATTCTTCACATATACTTTATTTGAAACAAACACATTTATCAAAAAGGTGCCTACATCTGATGTCAATAATCCTGAAAATATAAGTACAATATGAAATAAATCTATGTAACAAAATAAATACACAGAATGACTTGGCACTTGAAATTAAGAAGGTTTTATTGTAGGTAAGCCAAGTAAAATTAAAATTATTTTCATTATTTATAAAATAATTTCAAATAAATGTTAACCTAAAAATTAAAATAACTGGATTACGTGGATTGATTCAATTAGTAGTTAGAAGCCACTTTTACGTCAAACAAAAATCAACAAATTTTAAACACACCAACAAAATAATATAAGTTGTCTGTTAGTCTGTTAGCCTGTTGTCCTATACCTTGTTTAGGTGGAAAAGACATTTATTATGCTTTACATTTTTTTTAGTTTTCTTATTGGATTATAGGATCATATTATATTTGGATCATATAGGAACTTACCTTTTTTTTTATGTTTTTTTATTATACTATAAGTGAAGGAATTTACATATGAGTTAATTTTTATATAGTAAACCGCTTTTATATAATTATTATATTGTTTTGTAGTATAAATTTATTATTATTTATTAATTTATTATTTATTTTATTGTTTGTTAATGTTAGTGTGCGCTTATCGCCGAGACCATTATTGTGTTATAAAAGTTAAACGAATTGCCATACTTATTATTATTTTGTATAAGTGAAGTCGCGAATCGCCACTTATATCATTTTTGCCGCGTACCCTAATCGCCGCGGGCATTATATTCATTGTAGTGTTATTATTATTTTCATTATTATACAGGATAGGTAGCAGCTGGCCAGCCGTGCACCGTCTAAATTGTGAGTTTTATTATTTATTATTTATTATATTTATATACCAGCCATAGGTCAAATAGCTGTCACGTTATTATTTATTATATTTTGTTGGGCCAGAAGGGCCATAATATTATTGATATCATATTTGTATACCTTTATGTTGCTGTGATTTTTTATATTCCTTGTGTCGATAAAAAACTATTTATTTTGTGTACAATACAGCAACCATTTTTACCAGCATTACCGTGTTACCATTTTAGAGTTACCTTCTTGTCCATAGTTTTAAGCTTACACACTCTCACATATACACACACTTACACATCCACCACACACTAGCACTCTCTGGTCTTGCTCGGCGACCCCGTCCACTTCCTTTGAGTCGCTACACACACATACACATCTTTACACAGGTCGGTCGGTGTGTGAGTACATCGAAGTATTTAGGTGACCGGGCGACACGCACTATTATTATTCGTACCCGGCCCGTACAATGTGTTCGGTGTGCAACTTTCCATGCTACTTTTGTACTGATATCGACATTTTCTTCGGCACTACGTTTAATACTGATTTTACATGTCCTCTTCAATCACATTTTTTTTATAATAGGTATGTGATTATAATTTCATTCTTTAATTTTAACAAATTATTTTAAAACCTTATTTTTCGGAAAAAAAACTTAGAAAAGCTTGAAAATTTAATAGAAGGCTCCTAGTATATTTTTTCAAAGGCAAATGAAAAATATTAAAATTTCTTAGTCACAGTTTTTTTTTATAAGCATTTAAAGTTCAAAAATTGACAAAATATGGAAAAATCAGGAAAACTAGCAAATTATTTTGAGTTAAGAATTCGTAAAAATTTTTCTTTTTAAATCTAAGATTTGAAAATCTAATACAAGATTACTCATAAGTTTGTCTACCTTTATCAATAAAAAAATCTCTACCGGAAAGTCAAATTAAATTTTTATGAGCGTTTGAAATTAAATTTTTACAACATTGGATATTCACTCGGTTTCTCATGTAGCGATTTCCTTATTTTGTTGTAATTCAAAAACGAATATATTACTGTAGATACATGAAAATTTCACTGAATGTTTATATTAGCATTTCCTATACACCATGCAATTATGAAAATATTTTGACTCTTTTTGAGCTATTTACGGACATTTTCAGTTTTCAATTTTTTTAGTTTTTTTTTTCTATAAATATCAATAAAGTTTTATCTGTTAGGCCAAAAAGTGTAAAAATTTAACACAAGGCTCCCGATACATTGTTACAATATCAGTTGAAAAAAATTTAAAATACATATCCACGATTTTTTTTTATAAGCATTTAAAGATCGAATTTTGACAAAATTTATCAAAATCTCGAAAATTATCAATCATAGTAATTAATAAACTATAAAATGTTCAGTTTTTATAGCTAAAGATTGCAAAAATTTAAAACAAAAGTTCTCATAAATATTTCAGACTGTAACCAAAAAATCTAAAAAATATATGAACACAGTTATTTTTTACAGACATTTTAAATTCAATTTGGACGAAATTACATAATAAAAAACCTAGAATAACTATTTTAGTTATTTTGTTGTGATTGTATAATATTAGTCGTGGGTACTTGAAACTTCTAAAGTATACTACTATATATATATGATAGTATCAGGGTTTGTTGTTGGCGTATAACGCGTTATAAGTACCCAATGGATATTGTGATATGATTAATTTAGAATTCATTATAGGTCAATTTTTTTTAATACCATAGATAAGTATATAATATGTCTTATACCTAGAAGGAGTGACATACCGTCTCCGCTCAAAATCGTTTATTTTATACAATGATATAATATCATTGAATTCAAATGTAATACTATCCATTATACAGTGGCCCACTTGTAACCTACTGTACAGCAGAGCGACACCCACTTGACCACCTTTTTTTTCATATATGTCTTAAATTTTAAGTTTTTTTATTCCATTATTATTTCCCCCTACTAATTGCTATAACAGTATACCATGTTAAATTTTTTTAATAAACATAATTTATGTAAAATACTTTAATGGCTTAAAATGTTTAAGATATTCATTAAACTTTCACTTTAAATCTAAAAAGTGTACCAATATAGTTCAAGCAATTTTTATTTTATTTTTAAAGAATATTGTTTAACGATACAATTTGAGTATTATTATGTCATATTCATGTACTTAAATACTAAAATTATAGCTATTTTTATTATTATTATTACATGCTTTTCTTTAACTCACAATGTTTCATTCCTGTTGTCATAAAATCTTGCGCGCTCGATTTGAGGCACTT